CAAAACCGCAACAACACACAGCACACTGCATCTAAAAATAGTGATATAAACAAGGATAAAGCCAATTAATAGTTTAAATACCAGGAAAATAAAAAGGTTTTCACCTGATGCCGAAAATAGAGCGACAGCGCCAGGTGAACCTCCCTGGGGAATGTATTCCACATTTGGGGCGCTACCACTGAAAAGGCCCTTCTCCGAGTAACTACCCTCCTGATTTCCTTCAAAGAGGGTTCCTGGAGAAGGGCCTCTGCCTCCAAATCTCAAGGGGTTGGCCAACAAAAGGGGTGGGCAGGGATTAATAGCTAGAGTGTTGGCCTGGGAGTCAGGAAATCAGTGTTCTAGTCCCCACGCAGACACGAAGCTCAGTGGGTAACTTTAAGCCAGTCACTGATTCTCTGCCTAGCCTACCTCATAGGTTTGCTGTTGTGAGGACAAAATGATGAAATTTGTAAGCTGCCTTTGGTTCTTTGCAAAGGGAAGAAAGACATGGTATAATTGTGCTGATGATGCCCAGCCAGTTTGGCAAAAGCTGTAGTCTAATATATAATGCTTGGAAAGGCTGTTCTAAGATAATGCCTGCCACAGTTTAAAAAAACGTTTTATTAAAATTAATTAAACTATTCTGAATGTTCTGCTTCCTAGATGAAGGCCTTTTTACAGATCAAAAGCATCAAATTAGATGAACCTAGCCAATTAATTAACTAAATGTTATAACAATCTTATTTATTAACTTGGGGCTATAGCTGGCTTTTAAGTATATCAAGGGTATACAGGCAGAAAAAGTCTGATTAATTAACATTCAGAATTGTAGGATGTATTTCTGTCTAAAAGTACATAGGGTTGTGACTTAAAGTTGGAGCTAGTTCACATATTTTGGTTATGGATCTACTACAAAAAACCAATTTCCTCCAAATGTGAAACAACCCTTGTAGATCATGACTTGAATGTTTTATTGGTTAAATGTGTTTTACAAATGTACAGTTTTTTCACACAATCCATAGGTGTTGTATCAATGGTAGTCGTGCTTTCTTAACACATGGCAGAATAATGTGCATATTTTACTAGATATCTACATTTCAACTGTGACAACTGCCACATATGAGACATTTTAAGTCTTGTATGGCAATATGGTTGTTTCCTCAGCTACCCCCATTCAATGCCCCTCGTTCTGGTGATCCCTGCATGTCCATTACCAATGTGTATACTGAGGCATTAGAGCTCTCTTCAGGCAACAAATGTTCATGGAGACACTAGGCATCAAGTTCTGCCATTGGCAGACAGTCTGAAACCTCTAGATTGGTTAGGTTTAGCATATGTAGAAGCAGAGCTAGCCCAAGATACTTTGCTGACTGAGGCAAAAATCAAAATGGTGCCCACCCCCTTCCACGTACAAAAGCTGACAAGAAGGCAATTGAATCCTTTTGCAACATTGGTGATGGGAGAAATCTAACAGCTGAAGGAAGCAGGCTGGTTCAGAGGGCACAGGACAGACTGTGTAGCATACAGCTCCCTCCTCCAAGCTTTTGCAGCCCTTGACCTTCAGCATCTGCTGCCTGAGACAACTGCCTCACTCTGCTTAACAGTAGGGCTGGCCTTGAATAGGATTCTGGCCATCTGTTCTTGCTTGAGCAGGGCCCTTTTTGCCTACAGCACTTTAGGCTGCAGTTCAAGTCAGAGGCTCAGAAATGGAACTCAGGGGCCTTAGGTTGGAACACGGATGTTTACACACAGAATCTGAAGTCAAGAACAGCATCTTCCACCAAACCGGTGCTCTCCAAATATTTGGGAATTCAACTCCCACAAGCCCCAACCAACATTATCAATGATCAGGAATTCCAGGAAGTGTAATCTGAAGTATCTGGATGGCATCAGATTGAGGAAGGCTGAGCTACAGCCAATGGTCCTCTAAATAAAGACAACTGTTCAAAAAGTTATACTGTAGGGCAAACAATATTCTTGGCCACTTTACTAAGGCCATTTTTTAATTTTTATTTTCTTCAAGAATCAGTGGAAAGTTGGAAACATGGCAATAAAATGGAATCTAGATCTAAGCTCTTCCCTATATTATTTCAGTCTAAGAGTTACATCTTGGGCAATAAGGGTTAAAAGGAGCACAGAATCCCTTTCACAAGTGTCTCTGTTTATCTAACAGAAAGGTGAAAAATACCTCTGTAGCATGACTAGTGCCAGCAGAGCAGCTGTCTCAGTGCAAAAAAAGTGCTGGTTCTATCATTACCAAGTCTCATTTTGAAGCAACCACACACTGTAGATATACTGTAATTATCTGAGTAGCAAAATGAGTAACAGTCAAAATTTGCCCATGACTCTCTCTATATATATATGGTAAAGCACATGCTTTGCATTTACAAAATCTCAGGTTCAATACTCAGCACATCTCCAGGTAGAACAGAAAAACTCTTGCCTGAAATGCTGGAGCCACTACAAAGCTAGTTACATCAATGGTCTGACACCATGACAATGTCATAGTTTATGGGGGATTATTTCATCCACAACAAGCCATAATGCCCATGCGTACCAGGTTGCATATTCAAACCCCACTCAGGGTTGTCATGCTGTGCAAACCCTGCAAGTATGTGTGTGTTACTCAATGGTTAAACAGGCTATGAGTTATGTAAACATTGCCTAACCCTCATAGAACTCATGTTTGCTGGGTTCCCACAATACAACAACCTCCCAACAAGGATTGCATGTTTAAAACAGTGGCCACACACATTACAACCTCTCCTTCATATTACACAAACAGTCCCATTGCCCTCAGTTTGCACGATTAAACAATTCATAGCTTGTTAATCATGGTTTGCTCAGAAGAGCATAGTTTGTTTGAAAGCAAACTGGAGTAATTGTGCAGGATCCTGCTCCTTTCTATTTTGCTAAGCAACCTGGATGTCTGGGTTGTTCATGATACCTGAACCCAGAACTCTGAGTTGTTGAGGGAGAAAGAAGTGACCTGCAGTTTTAATCCAAGCTTTGCTCCAGATCTAGACATCACAGTTTGTTTAGCAAAGCAAGAATGTACATGTTTACTCTTGTATATTTATCAACAACCCAATGGTTATCAAACCATAGGTTGTTTAATCATGCAAACTTGGCCAGCATAAAGTACCTTCCTGTGTTCCTCTGAGTCTCCTGTAATAAAAAGGCTCTCTCTTTCTGGGGGTGAGGGACAAGTGGTAAACAACATGACAACCTTTCTCTATATGCACATATCTACATGCACAAACATCAAAGACCCAGCAATCCCTGGTTATATTTATGTGAGGAATGGGATTTTAAAACAGCATTTGGATCATCCAACACAGTCCCAGGTGAGCACTGTTCTCTGATGTGGACAACCTCACAAAAAAGAACATAGCTACACATACCATTGCCTTTGACAAAACCAGTTGCTGTTCAGCTGTTCTCCTTCCACTGTCAAGAAAAGTAAAAGGTCCCCTTTCTTCCAGGCACTTAACAGACCGAGGGCAACAGGTGTTGCCCTAAGTCCCCCTTGATAGCTAAAGGGGGTGAGAAAAGATGCATATTTCACTGACCCACCAAACTCACTGACACTACCATCCATAGAAATGGAAAAGGAAATTCTGCTTACTTTGGAAGAGGTCAATTCTTCCTTCCAGTACCCAGCTATGGAACTCCTTTTAAGCGTAATCTACACCAAAATCTGGATCCAGCAACTCAAAGAAGGTAATGAAAATCCCTTCTCCAAGCAGAGAACTACCTAAGCCGCTTTGCTCCACCCTGGTGCCTTCCAGACATTATGGGCAAAATAAGTCCAATTCAACACGGCTAATGGTCCGGAATGTCAGGATTTGTGGGAGGCTGACCTGGGAGAACACTGGCTCAGAGAAAAAGCAAAAATGCCTATGCAATTTCATTCGTCTCCTCTGGCCACCCATTTCAGGGAGCAAATTGCTTTGGAGCTCCTCCATAAGCCCAGGCAGGCTGCACAGCACTCAAGAGAACTTCAGGGCAAAGCAGGCTTTGCCACAGGATGGCTTTGCTTGGGAAAAGGTGCACTCAAAGAGGAGAAAGGCAATCAGCTAACTCTAAGTCAGGCTTGCCCAACCTGTTGCCATACCAGTGGGATGGACTGCAGCTCCCAGCATCTCCTAACCAAGGGGGATGCTGGGACTTGTTGTCCAGAACACAGAGAAAACCAGAATGAAGAGGACTAATGTCAGCTAATTCTAGAAACAGGATGCAAAAAGAGAGCCTTTTTTTTAAGGGGGTCTATGTTCGGTATATGCTCTCAAAACATCTGGCCACTTTAAGTCTTCCATTTATCTTACATTCATGGAAGCAGCTGTGTAGAGAAATTTGTAATAACGCCTTGTCCTTCTTTTCAAATTAAAGTCACTGTTTCAAATCCAAGCTCCAAATTAAAGCGAACAGAAATGTAATGGAGGGGAAACACTTGGGACAGAAATCTGGCTGTGGGAAGGAGTGGGGGGAATAACTTCAAACCTCTAATGAGTTGTTAAGGCTTCCTCTCCAACCCCATCCACCTTTATGAGAGGGAGATGGGAGAGGGAGAGGAAGAGAGAAACCTTGGCCCAAAACAAACAGTTCCCTAAAGATTCTATCAGTGTGCAAAACATACCAATAGATTTTGCATTTGTTAGGGCAAAGGGAAGAAATTAATTGGCCCTTCTCCTCCATAAGAAATTGCACAGCTGTAGTCTTTCAACAGGAAGAACACAAGGGAAGCCACCTCCATTAGTGATTTATAAAGGCATTAGCAACAGGGACCTAAAGTGTATTTTCAGTTCACTTACTATGATCAGTTATTTATCCCCCCACCCTCCGAATATCCTTTACACAACAGATTTCCCATGCACCAGTATTCTACATAAATGGACAAGGTTTAAACAACATAAATGCATCTTCAAGAAACAGTGAATAGTTACATCCAAACAAGTCTAGTAGATTAAGATAGGGTCTTGCTTGCTCTTGATCTAGAAAAAATGGGGAATCCTACCTACCTCTCTTCTACAAGATGTTCCAGAAATCCTCACCCGGCAAAATCCATCGGCAAGATACAGCAGAAATCATTATCCAAAAAATTGAGAAAGGATAAAAAAGAAAGGCTTTGCATTTGTTCCCTCCTTTAAAAAAAAAGAGCAATAATAATAAAAGGCAAAAATATGCTGGACTTTTATTTATAGCCACCCGAAGAAGGAGAGAAAAAAACCACAAGCAGCAAAAAAATAGGGTTGGAAAGGATGCTAAATGCAATATCCGAGGATCTCTCCACCCAGGAAAAAAATAGACCGCCCAACCCCCTTGCGAGAATAGGGGGAGGGGAGAGCTTTGCTTCCTTGCACCACGGTAGTTTAGGGTTCCAAAATAAGGCCAAAGAAAAAGCGAAGCAGCAAGGATCCCTAGGACGACACACAAAGGGAGCTCCGGGTTTGCCTTTGATCTTCAAGCAGCCGCATCCGACGAAGAAGGCCTCACTTTCTGCTTCCGTGCCCGTTCCCTTGCTACTTCTACCTCCGGACCCCCCCCCCCCCACTTTATACCTCCCGCTGCCCCTGTTCTAGCAGGGAGTACCCCAAACAGAAGGTTTTAAACACTCACTTTGAGGCCAGATAGAACGTTGCAGGTTCTTGGAGAATGGAACCCCTTCGGATGGAACGCAGAGGCTGGGGGGGGGGGAATGGGGGAGGGAAATAGAACGTTCAGAGTTTCTCTTCTGATGGAACGTCCATACTTTCCCTCCTCCTCCTCCCTTGTAAATTTCCTTGCCCAACGTTATACGCACAACTGAAACTAAACCGGAGCCTCAGCTCATCCTCATCTGCTACACTGAATCTTCCCGAAGACAGCTAAATGCACACATATACTGTGCCTCTCATAAAAGTGGCTGCACCAACCCTCTCTTTTTACTCCTTGTTCCAGCTTGGAAGGGGGTCCCCCTCTTATTCCCCTTTTAGCCTCCTCCCTACCTTCTGTTCCAGGCCTCCTCTCTTTCTTTTCCTGTTTCGGTCTCTCCTTCCCGTTTATTTATTTTTTGTTGTTGTTGTTAACTTCTCACCTTCTCCCCTCGCACCCTAATCCTCAGCTCCAGGAGAGGACAGGATTCAAAGAAGCATCGCTGGCTGGGTCTTTGCCCCCCTCCGCTTTTCCCCCCACAACGAAGGGCTTTAAGGAATTGAACAGAAAGTGTTCACCGAGGCAGCCATTTTCAGAGAGGAAAGTAGGTCCTGCTGGGCCAGCTCCGGGTTTGCTTAACCTCCCCCTCCCTCCTCCTCCCTCTATGCAAAGGGAGGGTGGGATCCCGGAGTTAGGGACTTGTCCCTCCTCTCTTTTTCCCTCTCTCGGCGCCTCTGCTCCCCGCGGGGCAGAAAGAGGGTCCCTTGGGCGTGATCCACGTTCAACCCCCGCCCGCTCGCCTTTTCCTCGAGATGGTTGGATGTATAGGGGAAACGAAGGGATCGAGTACTTATTTTATGTTGGAACCCGACAGCGGAAGGACACGCAGAAAGAGCGTTTGGGGAAGTGAGCGCGTTGTCCTTACGGAGCCTCAGTGCACGCTCGACTGCGGATCACTTCGCCAATATTAACCCTGCTGTGTCCGGGCCGGGTGGTTGCAAAGCACGTGGGATGGGTTCAGAGGGCTCTTCCTTCCTTCTCCACCCTTTCTACGACTGAGTAAGGGAACGTGGGACAGGTGCATTTCCCGCAAGAGGCGGGGGCGCAGCGTCTTCGCTCAGTACACAGACTAGGACCGCGCAGGTACCAAAAATAATAGAGGAGCAAGCGAATCCTTTTCCACCAGCGCATGCAGGGCATCGGCCGAGGGCTCTTGCTAAGCTCCAAGGGGGCGCTCGCGCACTCACCCGGGCACATGCCTCCGGGACTTTGTAACCTTAGCTAAAGGAGGTCCCACTACGCCCCCCAGCGGTGGTAGCTTTTAAGCTCTTTCGGGGAATATTTTCCCAGCGCAGGTTTTCTCCAGGCAGAACTGAATCTTCTTCAGCTTTGGTTAAAACACACTTTCGGAGTTTGGAATCACTGTGGCCCAAATGGTTTTCCCCGCTGAAGTTCATCCGTCGTGTTATGCAGATCAGGAATAGCGCATCTTCTGGGATGGGGCATTTGATGCCTTCTCCGTTTCTGATGGCAAGGTGCTTTGCAACCCTTTCCAGCTCTCTCCCCCCACGGGCCCCCATGCATGACCCCCAAGGATGACAAACTAGCACAGCTGGTTTAAGTAATCTCTTGAACCTTGCATAGAAAAGTGCTGTTTGTCTTCTCATTTCCATGTCAAGTTTTTCATCTCACTAGCTGAGTTTGTCAACATTTTGTGCCTTTCATAATGGTGAAGTAGCAGGAGGGAGTAAGTTAAGTGGGCAAAGGGGATTCATTTACCTGGCTTTTCCTAGAAATGCTCTGACCTGACTTTTGGTTATTAACCTTAACAAACAGAGCATTTTCCTATTTAAACCACAGAGCTGGGCAACTTACAGCCCCACAGATGTTTTGGCCTACAACTCCCACCATCCTTCACTGGTTATGCTGGCAAAAGCATCTGGAAGGGGTCAGGTGCCTGCCCTTGATTTAAGTAAATGCTGCAAGATGTTTAGGATATTCTTTATTTCAACTTTTGGCTGGCAACCCCAGCCAAAACAACCATCTAGAATAGCCCAAAAGAGATTAACAAATTTATGATGGTTTGTGCTCTTGTGAAGCTTGAGAAGCTGTATGTTGTCCTTACCAGATGTTTTCTCTGGGAGCAAGTGAGCACTCCTAGTAAGCCCAACAGAGTTCAGTGGGGCATACTCCATGTAAGTGGATAATGGGTTGCAGCCTTAAATCCCTCCTTCATCAAACATTTTTAGTGTTGCTATTAAGTATGTGCCTAAGAAAAGCCAGTGCCTCTCAGCATAGAGAAAGAGTACTTCCTTTGGAAGGAACTGGTAAGCAGGATTGACAGAATATTCAGAAAAGGATATTGACAGCTACTGATTTTGAGTGTGTGTTTCTGGCACACTCATGAGGCACATGTGAGTGTGCCCCAGCTCCAGCCCAACTGAGCTGTGTTGTGCCAGATATTGGAGACTCAAAGACTAACATTGCCAGGAGACTTGGGCATCCCTCTGGAGCACACCTCTTGTTCAGCTCAGAACCTCATGGTTCTCATGGCAAAATTGGGACTGATCCAGTGTTTGGAGGCCCCATGTTCAAGGGAATTTATTGGACCAGCTTTTCTGCCCAGGACAGGAATTCAGCAATTGGTGGTAGGATCCGTAAGTTAAGCCAAGGCTGGGAAGAAGGTAGACCTCCAAATGTTTTAGACATCAGTTCTCAGACGTCCCTGCCAACATAGCCGATGGTAAAGAATGCAGGGAGTGAAAGTGTATAATATCTGGAGATCTACTTTCTGCCCATTCCTGCTCTCTAAGACCACTGAGGAACTCTAAAACCTGATGTATTGGGTAAATGGTTTGAGTGCCTGGGCAAAAAAAGAGTTGTGCCATTTTTTATTTTTATTTTTTACCCTCATTGCTGCATGAAGGGCTTTTGGAGGAGGTTGCTGCTGGAGTGGAAAAAGCTAATCTTCCCCTCCCAAACACTGTGATACTTTACAGAAAATCAACGTCTTCCTACTGTATCATGACTGGTGGAGGCAAATTACAAGCCTGCTTGCAGTAGAAGAGGAGGAAGGGTGTGTGAGTGACTGGGGTCTGGGCATCACATTGGGGCCACATGTCCACAGCAAGTATGTTCCCAACCAGTGTAGGCATGTGGTTCTGACGTGCTTGCTCAAATCCAGTTCTTGGACCAAAAAGGGTTTCTACACCCTTGGTTCTGAAAACTATGAATTCAAGGCTGGATCTGTGCCTACCTTGGTTGGTTAAAGCTTGGGAACCTTTGGCCAAGATGGTGAATGTTTTATTAGAGCAGGGTGAACTTCCTTCAAGTTTACCCCCCACCCCCCACCATAAGTAAGAAAAAGAAAAAGAAACCATGATGAAGTGAAGCTGATTTGGTTAACTTTCAACCTGTGTGGTGTCCATATTCCATTTCTGGCTAAAGTTCTACAGTTTGTCACGGCTGAACAACTCAGTTTTCCTCTTTCCTTGACCCTATCCAGTTTGGTTTCTCTACTGGCCAAACTAAAGATGGAAATGGCTTTGGTTTGCCCTGACAGATAACATTTTGTTTGAGAATTTCCACCTTGTTGATTTTGCTGGACTTGTGGGTGGTTTGTGGTACTGTGAACCATGATATCTTGTTACATCAAACTAACAAAAGTGAGGAAGTGTATTCCAGTGGATTTGATCCTTTCTGTCCAGGGGAACACAGAGGACGATTGTTCCTGGATTGATGCCTTGTAATTGATGCCAATTGGTTTCCTTGGAAGGTGCTGTGTGGGATTCTGCTAGGCTCTCAGATGGTTTTCATGAGGGAAGTCTGCCACCTGTACAAAGTAACTAGCCGTTTCTGTTCTGAACCTATGTTGTGATGGTGTGGATGAGAGAAAGTAAAGCTGCATCTAGAGAAGCTGGGATGGTGGGTCGCTGACAGGCTATGCCATGGCTGTAAAGGGTACTGTTAGCCTGTTTGTGACGAATGTGGTTATGGAAACCTTTCTGGTTAGCCTGAGACTAGTCCTGGGTCCAGCTTTGTGATTTGAGAAGGTGGTGAGGAGGAGTGTCAGGAGTTCTTTCTCCCATTGTTGGATCCTTGAGAGGCTTCTCCTTTTCCGGACAGGTCAGAACTTACTCTGATCCATTCTTTCACCACTTCCAGGCTTGCTTACTGCAATGCACTGTTCAGGGGGCTGCCCTTGAAGACAGCTTCAGCTGCTGTGTACCTTCTGAAAGGTCTTGAAAGACAGGATCCTATTTTGCACTCAAGCCTAATTCGTGGTGCTCGTTGTTAACCTTTAAAGACTTACACAGCCTGGCTTGCCCATACCTCATGGACCATTTCTAACCATACTGATGCACTCTCCTGTAGTGTTCCAGTCTTCAGGATTACCGTATTTGTGGCAGGTAAGAATGTTGTCTGCTTGGATCAGGGCATTCACAGGGGATAATTCAAAGCTGCAGAAACTTCTCCCAATAGATCTGACTTCCACTGCCCTGGTGACCACCATATGTTTTGGACTTCAACTCCCATCAGCCCTAGCTAGCCCGGCTAATGGTCAGGGATGCTAGGACTGTCTTTAGGACACCAGGTTGGCAAAAACTGTGGCAGATATTTGGAAAGCTGCCTTTTTGCTTTCTTTTTGTAAGGGCTGCAAGGCCTGTTTCTTTAGGATGGCTTTCTGTAGCTGTTTCATTAGATTATTGGATTTTGTTAATGCTGTGTTTGCCTGGGTTTTTTTAGAATTAGCATTGGCTGCTATTAATTTTGAACATCCAGAAAACTAGTATATAATTATTTATATGAAATAAGAGGGGAAATACAAAACACAGAAACACCACATCTTTTCCATCAGGTTCCCCTTTTTACCCGGATCCTTGCTTAGAAGTAAGTCCAGGCCTTGAAGCCAGGTTCTTCCACAGCCATCCCACTGTAGACTGAGGTCTTAAGGAAGGTTCTGCTCCCCACCCCTCTGTTTTGAGATTAGATTGGCGAGGATGAGAAGCAAGGTCCTTCTGCGGCAGTCCCTTTCCAAGGATAGGCTGCCAGGTTAATACTCTTCTCAGCCTTCCAGCTGAAAATGAAAATATCTCTGTTCAGCAAGCACTGAGGGATGTGTGTTCTTGTATGTGGTTCTGGCTTATTTCTGCTACTGCTAGTGCTTTGTGGTTTTAATTTGTCTTTGAAGTTGTATTTGTGTTGTGTTATTTTTAGATTGGTTTTATATATTTTCAAGCTTTTTTTTTGCCTTGCTGAGGTTGGGTCTACATTAAAAGAAGAATACATAAAACTTTGATGGGGTTTAGTGTTTGCAATTCCAACCTGACCCCCCACTACAGTAAAGAATGCTGCCTTTAAAGCGAAGGAGCATTGCCAGAACTGTGTGTGCAAGGGTTAAAATGGATAAATTGGAGAGGAGGAAGATTACATGTAAACTGCCTTGGGTTCCTCACAGGAAACAAGCCAATAATTCATATAATTGAATGTATTTATGGCACAGTTCTTTGAGCTGCACCCTCGAAGACCCTGAATGCAGAGGGCTGTGGTAATCCTATGCAGAATGGGATGAACCACGGAGCCGATCTTTGCCTTCACATCCACACTCTGCACTTCTAGCCAGACTGGCTTCTGGGAGCCCAGAATTGAATATATAGCAAGAACTGTTTGGTAAACAGTCTGGTGGCAGTATTCAGGATCCAGTGGCATTTCCACATACTTTTAAACCATGGTCATATGTAGATTGCTAGACTAATCCAGCCTGGATTAGTCACAACAAGAGCAATCCTATGGCCACTAAACA